TGTGTGTGTGTGTGTGTACACATGATCACAGAACCTTGATACATGTTAACAGGAACTACTTCAGAGAGGCTGAGGCCATAGCTCAGTGGTGGAGTACTACCCTAGCATAATCAAGGCCCTGAGTTGGATTCCTAGCACTGCATTAAAAAAGAGTTATGGAATATATTTTGGAGGAAAGTATAGAAATGAGAAGAAGATGTAAACAGAAACAAAAAGATGTAAATTCCTCACAAGTTTTGGAAATAGACTATGTTCCAAACAGAAGATAAAATCAAGCCAGAAATTAGAGAAAGAGAAAATAAATAAAACCATTTCCTGTCATGGTTTTAGTCTCTATTTCCCATATGCTTTAGGTGGGAGATTGTTTTCTTTACTGGGCAATGCAGAAGGGCTTGAGAAGGTTGCCATGGCAAACAGTCAGAGACTGGTAACACACAGAAACTGAAGTTTATTTGAAACTATATGCAAAGTTAGAAGGATGAAAAGTTAGAAGATAAAAATGTGCAAATTGTCTAACCCCACAGTAATGAGAATTTGACTTAACTCTGAGAGTTCCTCTTGGATAGGTGTTCTCCTGTTAAACACCTGAGCCTGATTCCCAGCATTAAAAAGGAAAAAGGTCCCTGATAATAAAGCACAGGAAGGACTGTGAACCAAATTTTCTTGGCTATGATTGATGTCAACTTTGACCATTCACTCTGTTTTAGTTATTCATGAATTCTTGATCATGTTACCCAAAGGAATGAAGCTTGAACCTGACTTACAAGCAAAATAATCAGAAAGAACCAACACGGTGGGATAATTTAGTAAAAAGTAATCAAGCACAATGTGGTTGAGTACTTAAAATCTACATTATTGGGCTGGGTTTTAAGGAGTTGGAGAAGAGACAACAGTTTAGAAATCAACAGGAATAAGATTTCTATTTTTATGCAGTAACAAAAGGAAGCAGAGTGACTTAAAGAACACTGGAGTTAAAAGCAATTAAACAGTAGAATAGAACAGAGAAAGGGAGATAATTGCACATTTTAGCACCACAGTTTTAGGGAGCTTGAACAGGTGACTAGGAAGATTATGGTAACAAATGTGATGATTGCTGGTATCAATGCAATTTTCCGTTCAGCAGCATTTGAGGTGGGACTTACCATTTAATGTATAAAAGACACCATTCCATGGGCGGAGGTTGTAACTCAGTGGTAGAGCACTTGCCTCACATGCATGAAGCTCTGGGTTTGATCCCCAGCACCACCTAAGAATAAATAAATAAATATATTGTGTCCGTCTACAACTAAAAACATTTTTAAAAAGATGCCATTCCTGACTTATTTCTACTTGCAGCTATTGCAATGTGATGTAAAGCACTTCAACATTCTCACTTTCCTTGTGGGACCATTCGGATAATAAAGCTTTCATTTTCTGCAATATACCACACAAAGTGGAAGTTCAATCTGTAAGTTATTATATATGTTAGTGTTTTCAGGAACATATGAATTGTAATCAAGTCACTTAATCTCGGAGATGCACTGCTCATGCATGAGTATAATACACTTCAAGTTGTTCGCCATTTGCTTGGTTTCCACAATTGGATCACGGATGAGATGTTTTCCTTTGTGATTTATTCTTCCATTTGACAAATGGTTTTTGCTCCGAGCTCTCTGCTAGGTACCGGTGTGACAGAAGCGAAGAAAATTCAACCCTTGGGGACCCTGATGTCTGACAGGGAAAAATGCATCAGGGATCACAAGGGAGTGCGGGGTTCTTAGAATCAAGAGACCCAATTTAGGCTCTCAGCAAAGTCATTTTTCAAGAAGTGACATTTAAGCTGGGGGTCTAAATGATGCCTGGCAGTTTGCCAAAGAAAGAAATTCAGAGAGAAAGAGGGGAAACCTTGAGTCAGGAGAGAACGTTTTACAAGAGCAAGGTCCAGGGACGACCTGGGCAGTGAAGGTGGACAGGCAGGGGACTAAGTCCCTGTGGGCTGGACACTGGGCAGAAGGTGAATGTTGTCTTTGGAGAAATGAAAAACTGTTCAAAATTTTTAAGCAGGGATGAGATAGAGTCAGATTTGCATTCTTTTAAAGTTCACGTTAGCATCTTTTAAAAGGTCATTTATAGAAATCCACTTAGGACTGCCCTGCACAGGCCACATTGATGGGTGGCAAGCGCCACTTGGGCCCCATTTGGCCACACATAAGATCACAGCTCAGGACTGTGTGCTAGGAAGGGCATCATGCAAGATGGCACAAGTGTGGGTGTGTGTAGAAGGACACTGGTCTTGAGGATGAGATCTCCCAGGAACTTCAGAAAGGAAGTGGTACCTTTACTGAGATCTGGAAATGAAGAAGAGCTAGGTGTCTGTTCTTCACAGACAGGCGGTGAAGAAAGGACAGGTGGGTTGAGAGAGGACACGGCAGGGGTCTGGGGTGAGGTGTGCGGAGCAGCCCCTGGTACTAGAAAAAGGATGCATGGTTACAGAGCCGAAATGGACTCAGTGTGTCTGAGTAGCTGAATGTTCAACTCCTTGATCTGCTGCACAGGTGAAATACAGGCTGAGGATGAAGGAGGAAATGTAAGATGAGAATACAGCACAAAGAATTTGGAATTCAGTCCAAAGGCAATGAGTTCTTGCAATATCTTAAGGGTACCTTCAAGTAAAAAAGAGATCATTGTCTAGAGCCTCTGATGCTCATTTTAGGAAGATACCCCTGACTGCAGTGCGATGAGGGATTAGGACTTGAGGCAGGTGGCTAGGGTAGGATGCAGGAACGCATGCCAAGGTCTGTGGTACCCTAAGAAAGATGGCAGCCTTAGGATAAAGAAACCTAGAGGGTGCATTCAAAATATACTTTATTTAATTTATTTACTGGTACCAGGGATTGAATCCAGCGGTGCTTAACCACTGACTCACTTCTAAGTCCTTTTTAAAACTGAACACATGACCAGTGAAACTCCACATCACATACCATCACAAGAATGGGACGTTATATTCCATGTAGGTATGAGATGTCAAAATACATCCTACTGTCATGTATGACTAAAAAGAACAATATAAAAAATAAAATAAATGTGCACTGTTGGAACCCTTGAGTTATTTTATTGCTTGGAGAATGAGAAAGTACAGGGTGTCAGAGCAGAGATGCAGAGTCTTGGGAAGCCCTGCTACTCACTACACCAGGTGAGCTGTCAGTAAAGTCCCTTAACCTACATTTGCCTCAGTTTCCACATCTGTAAAATTACAGAAGCACCCAGACAGGATGTGAGGAGTGGCACCCTGCACGTAGTAAGTGTGGATGTTTTACTATCATTATCATTATTATTATTTGTAGATACATGAATGCATCGCTGTAACAATTTCAAAAAATATCTAAGTACATGTAGTAACGATGTAATTTCTTTCTTACCTACCTGCCCTCTCTTCTCTCCAGGATTAATTAGCCCATTGGATGTGCCTGGGATCCTTGAATTTCATATTTGTACATATTTTATATGGATCCCAACATCTCTGTGTTGTCTGACTGCACTTTAGCTTAAATGGAATCCTGATTGACGCATCCTGATTGACGCCCACTTCTCGCTTCCACCATTGATGTCTTGAGGATCCCTCCACGTTGGTGCACATGAAGGTCTCTCTCTTCTAACAGCTGCACCCCGTATATACAAGGATTCAGAATGATTTACCTAGGCTTTATTGGTAAAGTTGAAGAGAGTTGTTACTATTCTCATCATCCTTTCAAAGAATATTGCAGTCAACATTATACTATATATTGGGGGACAGTTTGTCCTTATATGAGTATTTGTGTAAGAAAAGTCCTGGCGACAGAGTTTTTAACCCTCAGGGTTGCCCTGTGCCTCTCTCCTGCCTGTGGGGCGTGGTGAGCGTCTGCTGAGGCAGTAATGGATCAGCAAGCACAGAGAGACTCTGGGCCGCAGAAGACCCTCAGGTTTAGGTAATGATGAGTTCCGCTTTTGGAATCCAATGATTTTTACAATAATTAAAAATATTTTCATCAGTTTTGGTATAACCCTAGTCAGGGGATATATTTTCAAATTTCTGTGAAGTGGTGTGAATCACGATCATCGCTGCAGTTGCTGCTAATGTTTGTTGGGCACCTTCCAGGTATTTGTTCTGCACTCTGCTTGGATGATGTCATGTCATTGCCATGATGATGGCCACTGTCACTTAAATCTGGGTTAAGTCAATGTGGTTGGGTGAAATGCCAGGTGTTCGGTGGATGTTCCCCAATTTACAAACCAAACCGGCTCTCTTTACTCCTCTACTGGATTATTTCACAGCCTTAGATCTACAGTCTAGAATCGATTCTTGTTTTCACTACTGTCATGTATAAGGAATCAGAACAAATTCTAAAACTAAAAGAAAAAATTAGAAAGAAAAAAAGCGTCAATTCTTGTTTTCCAATGGAAGGGTTGGTCTTCTCATTGTACAATAAAACTTGGTGATAGAAATTTTAGCAATGAAGATTGCATTTAATTATACTCTTTACAAATAAATCCCAAATTAAAACGTAAATGCCTTTTGCAGGGATTCTTATTGTTGGCTGCTGTTCCTCCATTGCTTCATTTCAACGTGTTCTTAGCCCTTAACAGCGTGTCAGGCTGGTACTGGGCTCTGGAAGTGAGAGGGGAGGGTGGCTGACAGTAGCCCTGTCTCTGGGGCACTTACATTTTAGCTTTTTTAAATATCTGATTGAGAACAGCTGCCATGGAGTTAGTTTTTTAAAATAAAGATCAGTAAGAAAGTGAGAAGAAAATGATAAAAATCTTATTTTGCCCACTTTGGTTTTTTTTTGGGGGGGGGGGCGTCTGGAACAGAATAATTATGCTGGAGAGAGGGGCCCATGGACTGAAGTACGGCTGTGGTTTCATGATTCACTTACTTTTTTGTTAAAAAGGACATTCCAGGGGGAAACTTTGATCAAACACTTAAGGAAAGCAGTAAAAATTACCAGTGCGATAATATGGGTGCTTTGTCCATTTTTAATTACCCTCTTCACATCTCAGCTGTCACGCCTGATGTGCTGGGTTTGTCGGGAGTCAGCGACATGCAGGAATGTGTGTGATCTCTACTCTATTCCTGACTGGGACTATGTTTCTTAAAAATCGATGGCTCAACACTCATTTCTCAAAGATCCAGTTAAACAGCCAACATGCC